TGCGTGCAGGTGGTTGCTCTTTGCACTTATTTATCTCGAATTTCCCAAGTGTCTTCGCTTTTTTATAGAGGTCGAATACGAAAATGGGTTTTAATTTCAGGCTTTAATTTCAGTCTGAGTGGACGCTGCCAAAAGTGGTTTAGTGAGCGAATGATTGATTCACAAGAAGAACCAATGATCTAATTAATGGACTGGATCCGCAAGCATGATCAGTGGCTTAAATTAGCTTCGATTAGTGTGTGAAATTAACTTTCTGCTGCTTCTCCTCAAATAAAATTTCGTTGGTTAGTTCACTGCACTGTGCATTCGCTCGATCCAAGTCTGCTTCCAGCTTCTTGACCTCATTCACTACTTCCCGCAATTTCTCGCTTTCTTTTCGCTTCTTCTCTGAAACCTTATAAAAATTATCGCCTGAAAAGCACTACACTAAGTATCCTTACTGAATAGCCAAATTTTGTTCTGCAGTGGTAGTTTGGGAAAAGACGGGCTTTTTTTTCACATTTTCGATTCCTGGTACACAATGCAAGAAGAAACGTGACGATTTTGCAAGAGTACCGCATTTTTAGTAAAAAAAGTAAGTATTGCCACGTTTTTAGTAAAAAAATATGTCTTAGATTTTCTTCCAAATTTAGATACTAGTTCATATCTGAAGTTTTATCCATCCCACGTAACAGGAAAGAATGTCTAAATAAGGCGCTTATCCAGAATTTAAGGAAAGTTTCAAACATCAGTTTCTAATCAGTTTGGCAGCAATCTTTAGAGTCTGTCCTCAGCTAAATTTTTATCACACGCAGTAAAGATCAGCACAGTTCAGTTGATTCTCTGATCACCCTCAGCTGATCACCAGACAAAGCGGCTTTGGCCAAAGCAAATGGAAAAATTGCCAACTTAATCATCTAGTTCGCACTGTTCTGATGCTTTGAAAGAAAGGCTTTAAGCATCCACCAGCGTCACTCTGCATACGCCACAACCGCCGGGAGGACTGTGGTGGTTGTTTCAGGAAATGAGATTAGTCAGAACTAGTCCAGGATTTTTTAGTTCTTTATCAGTTAAGCACGTTTATGTCCGACCCAACTCTCTGTTGATCAGTCGATTCAGTTCCTCAACTCTGGCAGCTGCTTCACTTTCCGTCATTTTTTTACAAGATTTCGAAGTTGATCGAGTTCCACTGGTATCAGGCGCCGATACGCTTGAAGAAGATGTCTGTGTTCTTGCTTCAGAGCTTAATCTATCCAACTTGCTGAAAGTCCGAACATTAGTTTAATATTAACTAAGCAAAAAAAGGCAATAACGGGATTGGAGCACTCAGTTTTTTACTGGGTTCATTGGGTACTCCAATAAGCCAATCAGCTATTCTTCAAGCTACTCAAACAACTTTTCTAGTTGCTTTGACAGTGCTGTGACACCTAACGGTCAGCATATTGGCGATCCTCCTTGAAGGGTTTATTATCTCAACAGTTTTCTCGGTAGATTCATCACTATGGCTGTATGGGAGGGACCTTATTGTTGCACGAACCGAGCAAAAACACGATCGCCTCATGTATAACAAAATCTACTTAGCTGTCTGGATAACTTAGTTGGTTGAGTGGGTTGGAGTAGCCCCAGAGACACTGCAAAATGGGTAGTCAAAAAAGCCTAAATTCAGTTCGCTTTTATTTATGGGACAGTAATTTAGAGAAATATCTAATACTGATGCTGTTTTGGCTTGAGAAAAAGAATAAGATATTATTTCGTGAAAAAATGCATATTCTAGCTGGATGTACCAAATCTAAGAAATTCCTAATTTGCTTGCTTTCCTCAGTGTAATTCGACAGCACCGGGGAGGAATTTATACGTCTTTTCGGGCAAATACTTTGACATTTCACTTTTGTGTTTGTAGTATACTAAGATTAAATAGTTGTAGTGGTTACAATTGTTATTACGAATATCATTATTAATATTATTCATACTATTATTATGGTATTTATTATCCTCAGTATTGCTTTTTTCTTGTATTGGTATATTACTGCTCCATGTATTATTATCATTATAATCTCGTTTTTATCACGACTATTATTGTTATATTTTTATTTCTTTAATTATTTCTCAAATCTCCTCAGTCCTCTGACGTGTGAATTACGGTATTGTATCGAGACTCGGAGAGGGATGAAAGAGGGAGGGACGGGATGAGGAGGATGGTGAGGATGAGGAGGATGGTGTGGATGAGGGATGCTGGGAACAAGGGATGCCTGAGTTGAGGGCTGATGAAGAGAGGAGGGACGTAGTTACTGGAGTGACAAGGAAACATGAGGACGCACATCAATTGTTTCCTCAAGTGATTAGTTGCGTGATTCTTTGCTGATGTTG